TCAAACGAATTTTATTTCTCTTGACGCCCTCTGTCCCCCAGGCTTCCCCCTCATTTATACAACCTAATTTGCTGCACTGAAAGGAGATTGCCCTTGCGTTCGACTCCTATGTCTTGCAGTTTCACGCTGAATGGTAACAAAACTGAAGCCAATAAGCCCCTTATGTCTTGCTTCATCTCTACGTGTCATTATATCATCCGATAACGTGTTATCCTATGATTCCTTTAGGTTCTGCATCGTGGGTATCGGTGAGTCTAGCCCAGAGCTTCTTCAGCCATGGCGCCTGTGCCAAAACACCAACTCAACTCTAACTGGGGCCAGATGCCGGGATAGATTCAGCATGTGAATTCATCAACCTCGCTACAAGGGATCGTCAGGGCCACCCGATGTACACGGTACGTAAGCGCGATACCTGCTAGAACGCCTCACAACGATGGTGTTATGGTCAACATCGGATAGCTTCCTTGGAAGCCGGGGTTGTGCGGTTATAGGGGCAACCTCGAGTCTGAGCCCATCCCTGAATCTGGCCCCTAACCCTTGTATCACGAATCAACGTCCTCGATTGCCGACAGAGGCTTGTTCGCTACTGTCCTTCGTCAACATGAATCCATGATGTCTTGTTGCTCGCCCCTGACCATCCACGCCCGCACACCACATCTAGGCCATTAGGACGGGATACGACGCTAGGGCTTTAATCTGCTGGCAACGATCGACCTCGGTTTCCTGGTTCGGGGAAGCAGCGAGTTTGGAGCTTAGCAGCTTGGGCTAGCGTTGGTAAGTGGAGTCTCGGCCCCTCGGGCCTCCCTGCAGGGCTGCAGGTTGGCTGGGTGACTTTTGACGGGCAGCCGAAGACGTAACTATATAATCCCCCTCTTGGACCTAAGCCGTTTCATCGTACGGGTACCGTATCTGATCCGCCCTTCAGAACACACACTCGCTTCTACCTATTGACTGACCATCATGAAGTTCACATCCACCCTTGCGGGGCTCTTCCTCCTCGGCAGCGTTGCCGCTTTACCTCTCTCTGATGAAGAAAGGCTAGAAGGTCTATATTCCTGTAACCTGCTCAAGCTATCCTACTAACTTCCGCAGCCCGGGATAAGCTCAAGTGCCAGTATAAGGATAAGCTTTGCTGTAATAACAAAGACTACTATACCCCCGACTATGGACATGGCGAACACTACGGCCACCGTCACACCATCTACGTCCGCGCCCACGAGAGTATCCAGCGGGCTATCAACAAGGCCTCTCGCGGTGATAAAATCGTCGTTACCGCCGGTATCTACGCCGAGCAGCTCACCATCTCTAAAGATGGCATCGAGCTCATCGGCAAGGGCGCCGTCCTGGTTCCTGCCAAGAAGGCTGTCAAGAACATGTGCTCGGGCCTGAGTGGTCCCCAGACGGAGGCTGGCATCTGTGTGCAAGGGGAGGGCATCAAGCTGGACAAGTTCGTCATCGAGCACCGCAAGGTTCTGTCAGTGGAGAGGCCCGTCGAAGACGTTTCCATCACCGGCTTCGAGGTCCGCAAGTTCTCTGGCATTAACATTGCTATCCTTGGTGCTAAGAATACCCGCATCAGCAAGAACACGCTCACCGATGGTGCCAAGTATGGTACTCTCACGGCTGGCTCGACCAAGACGCTAGTCGAGGGCAACAAGGTCTCACACACGGGCCTAGGAGTTCAGGGGATCGCTATCTGCATGGATAACTTCTCTGATGTCCATATCAAGAATAACGAGGTCACCGACTATGGCGTCGGTCTCTGCGTCCAGACAAATGGCGCAGACGTGCACCACAATAAAGTCTCGCAGTCCTGCTTTGGCATCTTTGTCGATCCCGGCGTTACCGGCGCCAAGATCCATCATAATCACGTCGGCCCGAGTAACCCTGCCTGCCAGATCGCTTGGGGTATCACTATTGACGGCGCGGTCGGTTCTAAAGTTAGCGACAACCTTGTTGAAGGACAGAAGAACAAGGGCACGGCTATAGGCCTGGTGGTCATTGACGAGGAATGCCTCCCCACCAGTCCCCTATTCGGCCTGACTTGCCTGACTCTCAAGCGCAAGTCTGTCGCTTCGGACAACATCTTCCTCCGGAATACGTTCAGGGATAGCGACTTAGATGTCTTTTTCAACACGACCAGCAAGAACAACTTCAAGTGCAATTCTTGCAAGGCCTCGCTCCCGAAGGGCTTTTGCGCGAAATGAAGAACGATCAATGCCATGTCCGGGCATAACTTGATGGAGACGATTGATCGGAAATAAAATGGGTAGCGAGCTGCGAAAGATTGTAACTAACTCCGAGTATTTTGAGATAAATCCTATATGTCGTCCATCAGGCGTAAAAAAGGCTAGGTAGTGTTGACCAGTTTTGACAATCCACTTTCTGCCCAGCCTCAATACTAGCAACATGACCGACCTTGACGACCGCTTTTCTAATAATTGCTCGTCGATTTCAGGCTTAAAGCATTAACTGGTAAAATAAGGGTCTTAAGGCAGGATAATTGCTGAGGGGCTCTAGCATCAATTCATTTAGAATCATGAACTAGAGCTTCTCGTACAATTTCCATCATCTATTCGACTTCGCTTGTCGCAAAGAAAGCCCCATTTCCCGGCAGGATATACGAGGATTGTCAAGGTCAAGGTCAATATCATAGCCAGAGCTGTAAGATAGGCAAGGAACAACAAGTAGTCCAACTAGAATGACTTTGGGGCATAGTTGCCTAACGCCTCTGCCGTCAATTTAAATAGGACTGTCACAATGAACAGTTCTTTTATCGTGGCCAATCGACACAAACGCGGTCCCATTGTTCCTCAGCCATTACCAGACAAAACGTCAAGTCCGAACATTTACTTCCCCGCTCGTTCATGGACACAAGGGTAAGCCTTCTTAGTCAGAATTGGAACAGACTACTGCATCTCCATCTTTCAACTAAGGACCCAATCACAAAGAGCCATGGCACGATCACAACCTGCTGGGAGCGCACTTTGAACTTTTCGGCCTTCTCAACCAACCTTCTCTGCGCATTCTCAGGAGTACGTCCGTCCCAAAGGACCGACCAATTTGCTTTGGTTCCGAATTCTACCTCTCTCCCTTGAGGATGTAGGTCCCAATTTTTGACTAAGTTATCTACTCTATGATTCAAGTCAGGAACGGGCCACGTTCCCGGTTTTGGGCCAATAAGATGTCTACCCCTTGGAAAGAGAAACAGCGTTGATCCATTGCCGTTTTTGGTTTTAATGCTAACCCTGTCGCAGACCCAAAAACGGCCTGCTTGACCGGCTGCAGCCATAACAGCCCCGTCGTAGGGGTGGAGTCTTATGAGCAAGGCAGATTTGAGCGTACGCTAGACAGGGCCTAATGATGGGCAGCTTACCACGTAGCGGCGGAGACACAGCGCCATCGGGCGTTCAGTGATACTTGCGAATGCAGGCGAGCAACCTGAAAGCTAAGAAGCCGTCTGTTCAGCTCAGCGAGTCACTTAGCGGTGCGAGAGGAAAATTACGACAGGGTAGTGAAGGGACCGGATGGGGAATCATTAGCTGTCGGCCTAGTATCTTGCCTCAGTTATGAGGTGACACGGAAGGTTGCAGCAGTAGGTAGCGCTTACCCCGCACACCATGTCAGCATCAAGTCGTAGTCGGGCATGCGTTATCTATTCATTGGTCGTAATTGAGCTTCCCGTCTTGCCTCACACAATACGAAGACTCACGAGTTGGTCAGTGACCTAATGACCCTCTTTGTGTTGCTCAAGACATGCATCCTGACGTGATATTGGGTCCGGGAGAGGACGTCATTCCCTTGTTGCAGCCTGATGATTCTTGGCATTGTGGATCCTGATCACAACAGCGTGTCCGCGATTACGGGGAAAAAGGTAGTAGAAGGGTTAATGTTATAGCGGTCCGGCAGTGTCTTACCTTATCTTGCCGGGAAGTGTGGATATGACAGGGGTTTAGTTCAATATAAACTGATTCTGATTGGCTCGGGGAAAATTAATAGGGATACCGGCCGTGCCACAGCCTGACCGGGGCAGACGGAGACTTACCCTGTACATTTATAGTCTTAACTTAAATGAAGAATAAAAAGCTTGCTGAAGATATTCAAATATTTAATTTACTTTATTAATTTATTTATATTTTCTTTATCGATTTGTGTACTTTTTACTTCATGTATTATTATGGCTGATTTTGTGTTGATTTTGTTGTGTTATTTATCCCTTTACGATACAAGTGCTAACCCGCAACCCGGAGCCCAACGTTGATCCCACCGAGTCGAGCTGTTGGTAAAACGGAGCTACGTCCTGCGGTATGTTGCACGAACCCGTATCTGAGGTCTCAGATGAGCTCGCGGCGTCGTCAAATTCGACGGCGACTAGGCCAGAGCAGTTATACTTTAGAGGCTCGTCCGGGCTGGACGAAGTAGAGATGCTAAACGACCAACTGCCGCTCTCGAGTCCCACATGTGGGCCTAACTGGATGATATTCTCGACGCTGGGTTCCTCCGCAACCACAACGGCGCTGTCGATCCGAACGTACAGCAGCAGATTGGTAAGGGTGGATAGCTGGTTCGTCTTCCTGTAATATCAGCCTTGTAGGCGTCACTTCCGCGCCGAGGCATCTAGTTGCTATCTTCACTAGCGTCACATTACCAATCCTCACGGAATGGGTATCCCAACCAAACACCTTATTCCTTCCGCCTATTAGTATAAGTATAATAAAGTAAAATTATAAGCTATACCCTCCTGGTCTATCTAAGCGGTGTTATTAAATTAAACGTATTTATATTTTAATAAGAGGAAAAAAAATATTTAGTTAATATTATCGTAATAAAGGCATCGGTGGATGACGGTTTCTGTGTAAGCAGATTAGTAACAGTCTTCTTAAAATAAGCTGCGGCAAGACGATTAATAAGTATATACTGTTGACTGCTTCTATAACGATGCGGATTTGCGTTATATTAGTAGTATAAGTAAAATAAGTATAGACCCGCTTCGGCTTATACTATTTCAAGCTTACGAAACGCTTGATAATATAGCGGCAAGCAGCAGAATAATTATCGCCGCCCTTGTAATCGGGGAAGCAGTCCTTTATGGGGCTATCGGGTAGCTTTTCCTTAAAATAATTGATTTTATTAAGGAAGAGGATAATTAGAGTCTTGAAGAATAACCTCGAGTTGCAGATAGAGCTGAAAAGAGTTATAGCCTTCTATATTCGGTTGACGGTCTTATCTCCGGGTAAAGGCTAATTGTAGTCGGAGAGGTTAACGAGGAAGAGAATGGCGGCGATATCATCGAAGTAGTAGATCCACTTCCTTCGCTTACATCGCTAGTAACTGATATCGAACATGCAATAAGCAATATCGCCAATAATAAAGGTAGTTTTGGTAATACCGGTAGTCTTGATACGCAATTGGAGGACGTCCTGCTTATTGGGTGTATAATCGGGAGCGGCGATACGGGCAATATTATCCAAGTAGCTGCCAGATAGTTAGTGAGGGACCGGTATGAATTAATCAATTAGGGAAGCCACGCTCTATCTAGCCGAATCGTTCAGCCAGTAGTCGGGGGATTACTTAAAATACTGCTGGACGCTACGGTCCTTCCATAGACCCTCGATGGCGCTACTAACCTCGGGAGGGAGAACCTTGCCTTTAATCTGGGCAGGTTGAATAAAGATAATTTAGACGTGGTGCTTAATTTGCTGGTTCTCGAGAGAAAGCTTAAGCAACTCCATATCCTCTAGAATAACGTGCATCGACTGAACAGTATTGCTAAAGATGATTTCCTTGAAGGATTCTCACTCGTTACAAGAGTAGCCACTCTTATAGATAAGCTTCATCTACTTCATAATAGTAGACTTTCTAGATTTACCGGTATCTATTGGCTGAAATTAGAGTCTCACCAATATATTAAGCTGCATACACTTCAACGTAGGTAAGGTTAATACAGATTGTAGTTAAAGAGGGAAGGATATACCGAGAAGCAGTAACTTGACCGGGTTATACTGTATCTTATACTACTTAAGCAGATTCTCAACCTTATTATTGTGGGCCTTGCCCTCCTTCTTTTCTATGTTTATTCTGTAATTCATCTTGGGCGGCTTAATAATAAGGTGAGACGAAATAAGTAAAGGCAAAAAGAGGTAGAGTAAAGAGAAAAGGAAATAATAAAGAAGTAACTTTTAGTGTATATATACCTGGGGAGACTAGTGGCATTTCAAAGGAAAAGCCGATATATTTCTAAGCTTCCCTATTTTTACTAAAAATATCAGAAAAAGCCTTGCTAATAATACTCCCCCCTGTAAATAGTATCGACAGGGGGATTGGCGATGGCCTTCTATTAATAGTTGCAGTCTGTATATCCTCTCATCTTGATTAAAAATATAGATAGCTCTATATCTGCCGAGGGTGCTGTATGTTGCTGTATATGCCTTGTGTGGCCACAGGGAGGAGTGACACTGGAAAAGTTGGACGAAGCCAGGATGAAATAGCAGGGGACAGAGGGAGAAACTCCAAGAGTAAAGCGAGGCAACCGGGAAGGGAATTGATTTCCTTGGACGACCCTAGAACCAGGAATTTAGGAAACGAATATGGCGGCAAGCGGTGTAAGTTAACCTTGGGAAACCTTCTTCGCTAGCGTGGGCACCTGCCTTGTTAGAGCTTACTACTAAGTTAGCCCGGTTCCCGTCCCTTTTCTAAAGCTGCCACTTACCGTACAGTCTACTATTAGATACGGGCGTTTGGTAAATGTCTAACTTGAAGTCTCTGCTATGTCTCGCCGTCCTATGTCTTTAATTGTTGTAAGACTACACTTGTACTAGTAATAGGGGTCCGGACTAATAAAATGGCGCAAATAAAAGGTATATCCGCCCCTATCTATTTTAGGTAGTAGTAGAAGTAGTAGTAGATTTATTACGCCCGGGAGAATAGATTTTATCAGTATATCCAATAACTAAGTAAAGCAAAAATCAGACCCCTTAACTTAGTTGACAGTAACCCCTTTATCACAACCCATATCAAACTAGGCCCCGACTACGTCACATATGCTAATAGCATACCCACTTATTCCCTTCTATTACACATAAATCACCTCAATTATTAGATAATCTAAGTAATCTAGAGGCATGAGAATTATTGGGATTATTAGATAATTCTTATAATCTATTAATTTACTGTAACTATATAGTCGACTGAGTAGTATATATTTACTATATATAGCTACTTAGCTATTAATATAACTTAGTTACCTTAATTACCTTAACTTACTATATATTACTATACTTAATTATTACTAGATATAATATTTATCCTATAAGTAATATTCTAACTGCTCTGCTAATATAAATCTATAGTTTATCTACTAGCAACCTGCCTTCTGCCTACTTTAGACTCTATTTATAGCAGATTAGAAGATATAACTATTATATATTAATAGCTTTTATTTAGAATAGTTACTTGCATTAACTATTAAGTAATATTTTATATTATTAAGATATCTGGAATTAACTAAATTCCTACTACTTTAAGTAATATACCTATACTACTAGCTTATAACATACCAGCAAATAATATTAATATAGCTGCTAAAGTAGAATATTTAAGTAACCTAGTTTATATTCTATAGCAGTAAGTATAGAATATACTAGCTATAGTTGCTATGAATACTAAATATAACCTAGGGGAAGTAATAAAACTACTACTATTTAAGAAGTTTAATGGGATATCTAGTAATATTATACTCTTTATTACTAGGATAAAAGGATACTTTTAGTAGTATTTATAATAGTTAGTATCTGTAGAATTATAACTGCTATTTATAAGTAATCTAATAGCTGATAATACTAAGAATTAATTTAAATTTATTTTTAAAGACTTTTTTAATAATAATAAAGTTAATTAGAATTAAAATACAGTTAATCTATTTATAAATTAGAAGAATTTTAAAATAGCCCTTAAAGATATATTTAAAATAATTAATAAAAAAAGGCAGGCAGCTATAAAAATCTATATACTTAAGTAAATTTACTTTACTGCTACTTATATTATTATACTTTAATAAGTTACCTCTAAACTAAATTAGAAGGATAAGATACTTATAGAAATATTCTACTAAGGGCTAAAGGATAAGGTTAAAGATAAGCTCTATAAAGCTAACCAACTTAATACCCTTATAGAATATATTATTATAGCTATTAAGATCGATAAATGACAGTATAAAAGATATAGGGAGAAGGCTGTAATATATTAAAGAGGTCGGGATATCCTATATAATTCTTACTATTCTAATTAATAAGAATCTAATAGAGAATAGAGAGGTAGCTACTAGAATAACTCTTATAGAAATACCTCTTAGAGAATATATACTGAACTTATAGAGCTTAGAGCTATATAGAAGCAGTCTTAAGATAAGAAGGATATTATATACTATAACTATAATAAAAAAGAATATTTTATATAAGAATATTACAAGCCTAAAAAAGAATAATAATTTTAATCTATACCTATTAAATAATAATTATTAAATACTATTTAAAAATAGAAGAAACCTAAATAAT